TGCCGTGGAGCTCACACGGGACTGCGGTCCTCGTGAGAGATGTACGGGAATGAGCGCGGAAACCCCTGCCATTACAGCCTTCCGTGGGGTTCCCTACTGGACAACGATCCTCGTGAGGGGTGTACTGGAATTGGTGCGGAGCCCCCACGCAACCCCAGCTTGCCATTGGAGCAGTTTGTGGAGCTCCCTACGGTGCCACGGTGTACCGATATGGGTGCGGAGCCGCCATGCAGCAACCCTCGCCACGGGAGCCTTTCGTGGAGCTTACAACGGGGCCACGATCCCCAGGAGCGTGTACCGATATGGGTGCGGAGCCGCCATGCAGCCCCTGCCACTGGAGCCTTTTGTGAAGCTCCGTGCGAGGCTACGATCCTCCTGAGGGGTGTGCTGGATTGGGTGCGGAGCCGCCCTGCAACCCCTGGCAGTGGAGCCTTTTGTGGAGCTCCCTACGGGGCCACGATCCTCGTGATGGGGTGTACCGAAATGAGTGATGAGGAGGGGAAAGGAGGAGGAGGAGGAGGAGGGGAAGGAGGAGGATGAGGAGGAGCTTGAGGAGGAAGAGGAAGAGGAAGACGAAAAGGAGGAGGAGGAGGCGGAGGATGAGGAGGAGGAGGGGGAGAGAGGAGGAGGAGGAGGAGGAGGAGGAGGAGGAGGAGGAGGACGAGGAGCAGGAGGAGGAGGAGGAGGAAGGAGGAACAGGAGGAGAGTCAGGGACTGCCTAGGAGACGCAGGGACTGCCTTTCCAAAACGAGGACCAAACACCACATGATGTTTGGGAACCAGTTTTTCTCCTAACGCCGCTTCACACGCCTATGCCGATTCACGGCGTGTTGGGAATATCCACGCCCATGCCAGCCGCCGTTTGTTCCGCAGCCGTGCTGTTTGCGGACCATTGTTGGTATTCTCTACACAGGGCCATTCGTTCGTGTGTCACACGCCCGATACGACGTGTGTGAATTAGCGTAGAAGAAATTGACACATCCCTGGTTTGGCGACCAGAAAGCATGTTACCCAACCGTAAAAGAAACATTCACTCGTCCTTCCCCCCGCGAGCCTCGTGAAGGCTTGTTGGGCCGAAGCAATGCCAAACCGGGGAGACAACGGGCGAATTCGGAGGATGTCTCAAGCGAAACCGTGCCGAAACCATCCGAAAACAGGACAGTCTGCGAGGACCAAGCACATTCTGAAGACGTCTCGACTGGAACAGGGCCCAAACCAGGGGCCAAACCAGTCAGAGTTTGAGGATGTCTCAGGCGAGGCGCGCGGCCAAACCAGGCCACACCAGGGGCCACACCAGGCAGAATCCCCTAAACCACGGTTCATTCACGCTCCTGCCAGTTATCCAGGCGAAGGACCCACATGTATGCAGTTGTCATGTTGTGGAACCCCAGGCAAACCCTCAAAGTGGAGCCTGCTCTTTGCGGGGCTACGGACCTCGTGAGGGGTGTACCGAAATGTTGCGGAGCCAAACTGCAACCCCTGCCCCTGGAGCCTGATGTGGAGCTCCGCACGGGGCCACGATCCTCGTGATGGATGTACCGAAATGGGTGCGGAGCCCCCGTGCAACCCTTGTTATGGAAGCCTTATGTAAAGCTAGCTCCCCATAGGGCCACGATCCTCGTGAGAGGTGTACCGGAATGGGTGCGGTGCCCGCATGTAGCCCCTGCCGCCGGATCCTCCTGTCGGGCGGCCATGGTGTTCGTGAAAAGTGCGCGGGGATTTTTATGGAGCCGCCATGCAACCTTTACCATTGGAACTTTCTGTGGAGCTCCTTGCGGGGCCACGATCCTCGTGCGAGGCGTGTACCGAATGAGTGCGGAGCCCCCATGCATCCCGTGTCACCAGAGCCTTTTGCTGAGTTTTTTGCGGGGACACGATCCTCGTGATCGGGTGTACTGAAGTGGGTGATGAGTGCGGAGAGCAGAGGCAGAACATCGAAGAGGAGGAGGAGGAGGAAGGAGACGCGGGGTCTGCCTGTTCAACACAAGTTCGACTTGACGGAGTGGATCACCCCAGGGCCCCCCCGCAGGCGGGAACCTGCTATGAATTTTATGATGGGAGCGTTTGAACAGCGCGCGCGCGCTGATGCGGACGGGGTTGGGCGCAGAAGCCTTCATTCGTCTTTCGGGTAATGTTGGGGCCGTGGTGTGGTGTTGGGCGAAATGATCCCGAGCCTGACCAGTTTCGGGAAAGCTCACGTACGCCGAATGTCGCCACGCACGCCCATGCCGATCCACAACGTGCTGGGAATGCCCACGCCCATGCAACGCACCATCCCGTAGCGCAGTCGTGATTCATCTGGACAGTAATGGCTGTTCATCGCACCGTTCCATTATCTGAGTTTGCACACGCCCACTACGACGTGTGTCAATTTACCAGCAAGTATGTGCCGAGACCACATGGCGGCCATATCGGATGTTACCCAACCGTAAGGCATTCGTTGATGTTCCCCCGCGCGCCTCGTGACGGACGCTTGGGGTCGAGACCATGCCAAGCGAAGGAGAAATCAGGCAAGCCCTGACAACGTCTCCAACGAACTTGTGTCGGAACCATGCCAAAACATAGCCAGAACGGGCGATTTCTCAGAACGTCCCAAGCGAAACAAGACCAAACCAGAGCGACACCAGACACACCTTGATGACGTCTCAAGCGAGACCAAGCCGGATCCATGCGTAAGGGTTAAACCAGGCAAATTGTCAGGACGTCTGCGGCGGAGCCGCGCCCAAACCAGGCCAGACCAGGGGCCAAACCAGTCTCTTTCTTAGGATGTTTCAGGCGGGGCGCGCGGCCACACCAGGCCAAACCAGGGGCCACTTGGCAGACTTCCAGGACGTCTCAGGCAGAATCGCCCAAACCAGGATCCATCCACTCTCCTTAAAATCGGCGTGGCGAATGACCCAACTGTATGCAGTTGTGAGTACCGTTGTCGTGAGTACCGTTTTTGTCGGTCGATTACCTTATGGGGCCACGAAGCGCGTGAAGGGTGTGCCGAAATTTGGCGATGCGATCACGCGGGCGCTGCCACTGGGGCCGTCGAGCACAGCGAGGAAGATGAAATGGAGGAGGAACGCCGCGAGGAACGCCAGCAATAGGGGGCATTGGGGCCTTCGGTGGGGCCATAATGCGTGTGAAGTGTGTACTGAAATGGAGGGTGGGACCGCATTTGGGCGTTGCCACAGAAGCCTAAGGTGGAGCTCCCTATGGTATAGCCCTTTGGGGCCACGGAACGTCTGAGGGGGTGGCCGTCATTGAAAGAGGAATTGCATGCGGGCGTTGCCACTGGGGCTTCCGGTGGAGCTCCTTGTGGGCCACGAAACGTGTGGGGGGTGCACAGACATGGAAGGTGGAATCGCATATGAGCGCTGCCGTTGGGCCCTTGGTGGATCTCCCTATGGGGCTACGAAGCGTGTGGGCGGTGTGCCGAAATGGAGGATGGAACTGCATGCGGGCGCTGCCACGACGGCCTTCGGTGGGTCTCCCTATGGAGCCATGAAGCGTGTGAGGGGTGCACCGAAATGGGGGTGGAGCCACATGCATGTGGGCGCTGCCACTGGGGCCTTCGGTGGAGCTCCCATACGGGGCCACGAAACGTGTGAGGGGTGGTGCACCGAAATTGGGGATTGAACTGCATCTCGGCGCTGCCAGTTGAGCCTTCGGTGCGGCTGTCTATGGGGCAACGCAGCGCGTGAGTGGCGCACCCCACATGCGGGCGTTGCCACTAGCCTTCGGTGGAGCTTCCTTTGGGGCCACGAAGCATGTGAGGGGTGCAGCGACATGCAGGGTAGAACCGCGCGCCGGCGTTGCCACTGGGGCCTTCGGTGGAGCTCCTTCTGGGGCAACGCAACGCGTGAGGTGTGCACCGAAATGGAGGGTGGAACTGCGTGCGGGCGCTGCCCCTGGGGCCTTCAATGGAGTTCCATGTAGGCCACGAAACGTGCGAGCGGTGCACCGAGATGGAGGGTGGAACCGCATGCGGGCGCTGCTGCTGGGGCCTTCGGTGGGGCTCCCTTTCGGGCCACGGAGCGTGTGAGGAGTGCACCGGAATTGGGATGGAACCACCTGCGAGCTCTGCCACTGGGTCTTTCGGAGGAGCTCCCTATGGGGAACGTGTGAGCGGTGTGCCGAAATGGAGGGTGGAACTGCATGCGGGCGCTGCCACTGCGGCCTTCGGTAGGGCTCCCTACGGGGCCACGAAATGTGTGAGGGGTGCACCGACATGGGGTTGGAACCGCACGCGGGCGCTGCCACTGGGGCCTTTGGTGGAGCTCCTCATGGGGCCACGGAACGTGTAAGGTGTGCACTGCAATGGAAGGTTGAACTGCGTGCGGGCGCTGCCACTGGGGCATTGGGTGGGTCGTCCTATTGGGCCACGGCGCGTGTGAGGGGTGCACCGACATGGGGGTGGAACAGCATGCGGGCGCTGCCGTTGGGGCTTCAGGTGGAGCTTCCTTTGGGGCCACGAACGTGCGAGCGGTGCACCGAGATGGACGGTGGAACCGCATGCGGGCGCTGCTGCTGGGGCCTTTGGTGAGACCTGAGGGGTGTGCCGACATGGTTGACTGGCGCGGAGGGCAGAAACAGGGATGTGGAGGAGGGATGAGGGAGGGGGCAGCGGGAGGAGAAAGGAGGAAAACGCGGGGCGTTGTCCCTTCAAAATGAGGCCCCAACATCACAGGATGGTTGGGAAAAGCTCGAAGGCGGAGGGCTGTTTTGAATTTTATGGGGGGCGTGTGAACCGCGCGCCCGCTGATGCAGACGGGGTTGGGCGCAGAAGCCTTCGTTTGTCTTTCGGGTGTTGTTGGGGCCTGTGTGTGTGTGGCGTTAGAAGCTATACTTCCGAGCCTGTAGTTTGCTTGAACACCGATTGTGCTCGGCCAACATGTTTCATAATCGGAACTCAACGAAACGTCAGGACCGTCCAAGAAGACAATGGGCCTCAATCCTGAGACCTACCCTGGGCGCTCGTCCGCCGCCCGCCATTCCGCGTCGTCCCGGCGAAGGCTTCTGATGCCCGCGCCCGGCGACGCGGACGGGTACAGCGGCCGGCGGAACGCAGAATTCCCGAAGGCCCCCCGCGGCGGGGGCAGGCTGGGCGCAGCGGCAGGCCGGAGGAGAAGCGGGCGGGAGCGGCAGGGCTTCGGCACCAGCTCAGGGACGCAGTGTCGCCCTGGGAGGGGCAGCGCTTCAGCCGCAGCGGAGCTCACACCACGTCTTGCAGAGCCACGCCGGGCTGGACACGGGACCCACTGCTGCGCACGGGAAAAGATAGACAAGCAGTTCAGGAGGGGAAAAAGCACAGACACAATTAATCGTCGATGCCCCTGAACATATGGGACAATATGGGAAGTGGGGGGGAGACAGAAACCCGGAATATATGGTGAACTATTGGGAATTTGGTTGTTTGTGTTTCTTTATTTCCGTGCGGGCGATAATAAACATATTCCCCCTTAAGGCTCTTTATTGTTTAATCCCCGTTCACCAGAATTTAGTTGTTGAGAGGGGCGCGGAGGCCGAACCTGATAATCCACGCGGGAAGTTGCGAGTCGAATTGGCCATCATGTCATTCTGATTAGCAACAGCAGCAAAAACGCTGAGCATGGCCATGGTGGTCTCACCATATCAGCTTCCGCAATCACGAGCGTGTGGCAGGGTTGTGGGACTCTCACTAGTTCAGTTTTCCCAAGTCACGAACGTGCGGCAGTGCCGTGGGGTTCTCACTTCATCAGCCGTTTTCGGGTCATGAACGTGTGGCAGTGCCGTGGGGGCCGATTTGGGTTTTGATGTTACATGCGTTTTTTTCAAGCAGGCAGAGCACTGAGGTGTTTTTCTTGTTAGTGCATCCCTCGCACGGTCCGTGGCCCTTCCTCCTCTTCCTCCTCCTCCTCCTCTACCACCGCAGCTGCCCAGGCCCGAGCTTTCTCGACTCTCCGAGACTCCAAGCTTTCGAGCTTCTTCGAGGTGCCGAGCTTCTTCGCCCCGGGGGCAGCGATAGGCGGGGAGAGGCGTGCCGATCCGGCCCAGGAACGCGCGGATTCACGATCGGGCGCGCGCATGGCCGATTCCAGGTCGATGTGTCCCACCCAACGCTTATCTCCCCCACGTCGTCGCCCCTGAGTGCGTCGCGAGCCAGGGCCGTGAGCCAGGCCGCCGAGCGCGCCCGCCGCCAGCGAGCCAGCAGGTCGAGGCCTTCAAAAACGTCAAGACCCAGAGCGCGAGCCCAAACTCGAGCGAGATCCTCGAGCGCGCGGCCAAGCAGAACGCTGCTATTCTCGGCGAGCTCGCGTTCATCGTGAATGAGATCGCGATCGCCGAGATGCGCAAATGCCAATCGAGCGCGCAAGGTACTAATACAGCGAGGATGACGGCCTGGCTTTCAAGGCCGAGAGCGCGTCGTGGTCAAGCAGCGCCCAGCAAGCCGCCCGCGAGATGGGCTGCAACGGCGGGCCTCTCAAGAGCATCGAGCACGGGCCCATCTTCAACGGGAATAACAAGAGGCGCGCCGAGCTGGCCGTGGCGTTGCCCTACAAGACCAACTGTGAGAATGACGAGGACGCACGCGACATCTTCGAGAATCACGGAGAGCCGCCCGAGAACAGTTTCTGGCTCATGCCGAGCTTTGAGCCAAGAAGCACGAGGTTGCCAAGCAGAAGGACATCGAGTTCGGCGCCGATGGCGGTCAGCGCCTCGCCCGCGGCTCCTACACCGAGCGCGTCGGCGAGACCCTCTCCGACATCCCCGCCGAGCTCATCCACCTCCACGGCCTCGTGCTGCCGATCGGCAAGAAGGTCGAGCCCGTTGAGCAGTGAGGCGAGGAGTCCTCCAGCATGACTTCCGAGCAGCTCTTCGAGCTGATCCTTCCCAAGGCCAAGCAGTTCGCCGCTTGGCGCCGCCAGAACGGCGCGGCGCCGAGCCCTGACCGCGCCGTGGCCACCGCGCAAGCGGCGGCGAAGTGGCGCTGGAGCCTCAAGAGGACAGCCGACATGGCGCACAAGTTCCAGGGGCGGTCCTACCAGGACAAGCGCTCCCAGCTTGAATGCGCGAGCACCGTCAAGCAGCAGGGCATCGAGACAACGCCACTGAACCTGCACATCAAGCTGGACGCGTCATGCCCGCGCCGACCACGGCAATATCACCTACTAGCGCGAGCCCGAGAGGGGCCAGGCCGACGCGAAGGCCGAGCCAGAGGCCGACGAGTTCATGCTCGTGGGCGCCTTAGAGCCCGGCGCACGAGCGCCCCGGGCCAAGCGCCCCCACGTTTTTTCGCTACGGGGGTGCCGCGCGAACGTCTCGAGGCACGCGCTCGAGCCCCATCTGCTTTTCACGTTCCAAGCGAGCTTTCCGAGCGCGCGCGAGTGGCGTTCCAAGCTGCGGGGTGCTACCCCCCTCTCGCCGAGTGATACTCGATCAAGCGTCGAGCAGTCACGCAGGCCCGATCCTCCATCCTCGGATCGAGGGCCCGAGATCTTGAGTCCGAGGATCTTCGAGCACTTTGGATCTTAGTTCCGAGGGTCGCCAGGCTTGGACTCGAAGATCTCGGGTTCGCGATCCGGGGGTCGATGGTCGAACCTCGGCGATCGTCGATCGTCGCCGTCGCCGTCGTTAAGCCCAGGCCGCCATCAAGGAGAGCCGATCCTCGGATCGAGGATCCAGGATTTTGATTCCGAGCAGTTTTGAGCGCCGTGGATCTTAGATCCGAGGATCGCCGCGCTTGGGCTCGAAGATCTCGGGTTCGCGATCAGAGGATCGAGGATGGGGCCTCGGCGATCGTCGATCGTCTTCGTCGCCGCCCTCGGGCCCAGACCGCCGCCAGGCAGGCTCGATCCTCGGATCGAGGGTCGAGGGTCCGAGATCTTGGCCCCGAGCATCTCTAAGCGCCTCGGATCCTAGATCCGAGGGTCGCAACGCTTGGACAAGATCTCGGCATCGACATCCGAGGCTCGAGGGTCGAGCCTCGGCGATGGTAGATCGCCCCCCCCTCGCCGCCCTCGGGCGCTCGGGCCACCATCGGGGGGGCCCGATCCTCCATCCTCGGATCGAGGGCCCGAGATCTTTGTTCCACGCATCTCTGGGCGCCTTGGATCTTTGATCCGAGGGTCGCAACGCTTGGACTCGAAGGTTCCGGGTTCGACATCCGAGGCTCCGTGATCGAGCCCCGATGCTCGTCGATCTTTTTAGTCGCCGTCTTCGGGCCCAGGCTGCCATCGAGCAGCCTCGAGCCTCCATTCGCGGATCGAGTGTCCGAGATCTTGGCTTCGGGCATCTGCGAGCACCTCGGATTCTTGATCCGAGGATCGCCAAGCGCGGGCTCCAGGATCCCAGGTCCTCGATCCGAGGATCGAGGGTCGAGCCTCGACGCCTGGCTGTCGCGGTCGCACGCGCAGGCGCGCGCGCGCGCAGGCGCGCAGGCGCGCGCGCGCGCTGACGCGCGCGCGCACACACACACTCGCAGATTCGCGCGCTCGCACACACTCACGCACTCACGCATGCACTGACACACTCACACGTACAACAACAAAAGCACAAACCAGCAGCCGCGACAGCAACCAGCAACGCAACAGCAACAGCAGGCCACAACAGCAACAATACAAACAGCAAGAGCACAAACTACAACATCACACACAACAGCCAGCAACACTATAAACCAGAAGAGCACACGCAACACTACAAACAACAACAGCAACAAGACACAACAAGAGCAACGAACAACCGTGGCCCATATAGGGTCAAACCTTCCAAGCCAGCCGAGGGCGCGGAATTCCATGGTCGAGTCGGACAGCGACGATCGTCGGCCTTTCGCCGAGCGGCTGGGCGGCGAGAGCCTCGACGACAGCAAGCGGCTGGGCAGCAGTTCGAGGACAGCAAGGTCAAGCTCGATGTCAAGCTGGGGGGCCAGAAGGTCAAGCTGGATGTCAATCTGGAGGGCGAGAAGGTCAAGCTGGAGGACGAGAATGGCTTCTGCATGCTCGAGGACAAGAAGCACAGGCGCCTCTGCGAGCCCGCAATGACGAGGCAGCGCGATGCCGTGCAATCGGTGCCGAGCCCTGCCTCGCCTCCAGCCTCGGCCCAGAGTCCTGACTCAGCCATGAGACGCCTCGCGTGCCGCTGGGAGCTCTGGGCGAGGTGCTTTCGGGCTAAGTGAGGGGGAGGTGCTGGGGGCTCTCGGCGCGGCGACCGCCGGCCTCGAGGACGCCGGAAAAAAAAACGGCGAGAATCCGACGACAGCAATGACAAAAGCACACGCAACGTAATCCATCAGCACAACACGCGCACGCAACAGCGGCAACAACGAAAACAACAGCAAACACAACCAGCACGCAAACATCACCACCAGCAACAGCAGCAGCAACAGCAAGCACAACCGCAACGCCAGCAACCAACGCAACAGCAAGCCACAACAGCAACAACACAAGCAATAGCAACAAGCGGACAACAAGAAGCGCTAACGACCATCTAACAATAGAGGGCTGACAGCGAGACGGTAGCAACAAGAAGCTCTAACGACAGGCCAGCAACAGGACGAGCCAGCAACGGCCAGAAGCCTACAACTTTCCGCAACCACTTTGGCTCGAGGATTTGTGCTTCGAGCCGCTGCAGCTTTGCGGCGAGACTCCGATGGGCGCGCCGACGAAGCAGACGAGCTCGTCGAGCCTCTGGGGTCTGGCGACCACGCCGCCCGCGGCCCCGAGCTCGCGCGAGAAGCTGAGACCCCCCCCCCACCCCCACCCCACGAGGCGGCCGAGTCTGCCGCGAGCTTCTGCGAGGGGCTCGAGGCCAACATCTTGCAAGGTCCCTCTCTGGGCCTTCCAAGGGCCTTGCATCTTTGCCGCGCATCCTTGCTGCGCGTGTCGACTGTGTTACTACTACTACTACTACTACTACTACTACTACTACTACTACTACTACTACTACTACTACTACTACTACTACTTACTACTACTACTACTACTACTACTACTACTACTACTACTACTACTACTACTACTACTACTACTACTACTACTACTACGACTACTACTACTACTACTACTACTACTACTACTACTACTACTACTACTACTACTACTACT